ATGTGTAAATTCAAATTGTGTTTGGCAGGAAAGTGTGTTGTTTTTAAAACTGTCCAATGTGATGTCATCACATAGTACAATGTCAAACTTGATATCAAAATTAATGTACTTGTAGCATGATTGTAAGATTAATACGTATTCAGAGGTTGTAAATGGGATGGTTAAGGAAAAGAATCTCGTACTTGTCCACCAACAGCTTCAGTGACAACAGTATAGCCGCCAGCATCCGCCTCCGATACGGTGACGCCCTCTTCTCTAACAATATTCGTCATGTCGTCGTGGTGAACAACACCGCGCGTCTCGTTGACATCAGCCGCTGATTGCACGACGGTGGCCGGACCACCTTCCTGAGTCTTACCCAGTGCAATGTTTTCAGCGGCCATAAAGGCGTTTGAATCCTGTGGAGCTACGGGTTTTCACCTTGAACGTGTAAAACGTCTCCATATCTAACGGGTTTTGGCCTTTGCGGCTGTTCCTGGCTCATTCCTCAGATCAGGAAAAATGGGTTTTATCTCTCTTTTTCTGTTTTTGGTCGAAATATTTGCGCGGACAACTATATGCATGAATCGGTGGCGGCCCGTGACACGCGGTGGTGGCGGAGAGATGACACCTCTTGAATTACTGCACGTGTGCTGGTTTTCCGTTCTTCCACCGTATATGTATTGAGCACCGCTTCATATCAGTTCACCATCTGTCCTAGAAAGATGCATCATTTTTTCTATAAATTAAAGGATTATTTGACAAAACTTTTAATAAAAAATTTAGTGGAAATTGTAGGGTTATTTCACACTTTCACATCGTCTTTGGGATCAGACTCCATTGCAATATTAATACTTACAAATTTTTACATCACAAAAGATATAGACATTCACTTTCTTAAAGATAATATTTCCAAAGGCTCCTGTTTTTGTCTATTTCTTGTTATCTTTTAACCTCAGATGTACTGAAAGTCTGAAAGGGGGTGGGGGTATTGAATTTGTCCCTTTATTCTCCAACTTGTACCTGAGGACTGGTACCCTGTGTGCAAGAAATTCCAAGTGTGCACTGTGAATTCAAGAAAAGTGAAGATCTTTTATAGAGTTTTGAAAAGTCTTAATCCACCCAGACTTTTAAATCCATATTAATCTAGATTAAAACACCATAGTTTTTTCTTAAAATATGTGTATGCGACTACGGTAGTAAGTGACGAGAGGGAGGATGACTTGAGCCAAGGATCAAAATTTCTTGCATCAAAAATTTCATCCACCCTTTGGTCTGAATCAGGATTGGGAACATTGGAATTTTTTCACGTTAAGTCTCTTAGAAAATGCTATATTCATCTGGGAAAAAAAGGAAAAGAGAGAATAACAAATGTTTAAAATAAAATAAAATCCTAAAATGGAAAATCCAGCTCTGAATTCTTCGTTCCTTCAGAAAACATTTCTTGGCCGCGGCATTCATGGCTGCAGAAGGCTTTCTCACCCCTGCAACAACAAAAAGTAAATATATAAATTCATGGGTCAACTAAATAAAATCCTTTTCCGCATCCATTTGATAGATTTGTACTAGAAGAAGCCTAAAGATTAAATTGTCGACCTGATCATCATTCTTTCCATAGAAAAAGCCTCAAGATCTTGGCTGGAAATCAGCAGATTTCCAATAGGCCACGGACATTAATCTTTAAGTTTGAGAAGCTTTTTTCTACGATATAATTTAGCAGACCATTCCAGTTTTTTTGTTACCTCGCTACGTTTATCACTAAATCTACTGAAAGCTTTTTTTTGTTACGCTGTCTGTACAGATCCCGAGTGGACAATATAATCGCAAAATTCTAAAGATAAAATCAAACATTAAAACGGTAGAATAATTGTACTAACCTGTACATGTAAATGTCTTTGCCTTGTCCAAGACTGTCTTTGCAAGTATAGCAGAAACTAAGGAAATTCATTGATGGAGAGTAGGAAAATTTTCTTGAAAACCCACTTTTTGTTTCCTTTTCAGACAATTTGACAACACCACAGCAGCTTTCGATGATACAGTTATCAAATATATGAGTGGTTTTTGGATTAGGCCCATGAGTGATTACACAAGTATAATCCTCAGAAAGCTCCATTTCTTTGAATGAAAGTTGCTTAGTAAAAGCCTTTCGAGGTGAATTATTGGCCTCAATGCCTGAATTTGGACTTGAAAACGGAGAATTTCGAGTCTTGATTCCAAAATCAGCTGGAGATTTTGGCGATTCAGCTGCAGAATGTGGGGGAGGTGGACCTAAAACCGGAGAATATTGCCTCTTGATTCCAAAACCAGTTACAGATTTAGGCGATTCAGCAGAAGGTGGCGAGAATGGGCTTAAAACTGGAGAATTTCGAGTTTTGATTCCGAAATCAGCTGGAGAAGTGGGGTATTCAGATGAAGAAGGTGCTGAGGGATGAATATGATGATCAGAAGGAATTTTTACACGAAGTTCAGTTCCAAACATAATCATTCTGCTAATTGGCTTAGAAACATCTTCAACATTTTCTTGATAATTGATGGTGTCAATTAGGGCAACACCAATCCCCTCTAACTTCAATTTATTGTTGATTTCAGGAATATAATTTGTGGGTTTTGACAGGTTTTTATCGTAACCAAATGGGTTGTGAAAACTTGATGAAATTTGGGAATCAAGAATTGATTTTGGGCTGATTAAACTTTCTGAATCAAACACAGTTTTTGTCGAAAATCCATTGAAGAATCTTGGAGGACCCATGACACCTTGTTTGCTGCTCACTGCTCTAGATCTGTTCCTCAGCATTTCCACTCAAAGTTCATCAAAAGATTTTGCTACAAAATCAAGAAGAAACCAAACAAATCATAAATCTGTAAGCTTTGTTCTCAATAAATTTAAGCTCAACTATACAACAAGAAACTAACTTAAGAATTCAAGAATTGAACTATTGAGGCTAAACTGAAATTTCACTTTACCAACCTCAAAAGAATAGACAAAAGTATGCTTTCTCCTCAAAATTAGAAATTTATCATAAACCCACGAGGAAAAATGAAAAAACCCCAAACCCCTATAAAAAGTCTGCTAAATCCCTTTAGCCTCCATGCTTTAATTGATATTAATAGAGAAATTCCCTAAAAAAAAAAAAAAAAAACACCTAATTAATCTTTTATTTTTCGGTCTCTTTCGTCCCTCGACAAAAACAAAAGTATTTAAGGTACCATTTCAGCTGTTCGGTCAGGGCGTGTGTTTGTACAGTGGGTAGCCATTACTGTAACTCACGTCCTCACTTTTATATATTTTTACAGAGGAAAAATGGACATCAAATTCTATGAAAATAGAGATTGATTGATTATTCTTTTTTCTTGTTAATCGCACAATAACCCAACAGAAAAATGGTTGTAAAGTTTTAGGATCTTCGGGATCAAAATTATCAATATCAATGTCAAAATTGCATGCAATTTTCATTGAATT